GGCGAAAGAGGTGCGGGAGGCGGGGGGGGTGGGGGGGGGGGGGGGGGGGGGGGGGGGCAGGAAATGCTGGAGATTGGAATTGTGTACACTTAACACCAGTGCTGCACCAGGCCAATTATAAAGATTCTACCAGAGTAATGCTTAGGCTGTACCTGGGGATTTTATTGCTAACTCTCTGTCAGTCTTTGTGTGCTTAAATTTCCCATCGGCAAACTGGGAGAGATGCACCTCCCCTCTTCCCTTTCGTGCCCCTCCACCTAATAAGACATACTTCAGTATGTCTGTTTTTTCCTCTATTCTGACATGAAGCTGTGTGTACCTATGCAAGAAGCTGGCATCTTGAACCCTGCCCTTTTCTCCCATTTGGGATTGGCAGCTACTTTTCTTCTCTAAATGTCTCATGGGTCAGAGGAGCAAGAGGTGGGAGTCAGCTTCTCCAGCAGTATGCACTGCCTGAATACATTCCTGCCCTCCACTTAGAGGGGCTTCCCTACATGGATGCATCCTGCAAGCTGCTAGTCAAACTGATCTTAGGTAACTAAACTGTGCTTACTCTAGGTAAAGATTGTAGCAACTTTGAATGAGGACTATCTTGAAAAACACAGATACTAATTGCTTGGAGCTGAATATTTTGGTTTTTGACATCTATTCTTTTCCCACTGTAGGAAAGCCTAAATGAATTGAGTACTGTAGCATCAGGATGGCTCATTAAACTTGTAACAAATTGAAGTATGGGATTAAAAAAACCGAACTGTCATCACTGACTTAAGAGACTTAATGAAGCATCCTTAGTATTGATTATCTTAATGTGTTAAGATTGCACTGGTGGGCAAAGTGTAGATTTACTAAGTTGTGGGTTGAAATACATGGAAAGGTGAAGAAAATCCTGCAGCTGTGAAGTGTGGCATTGTTCTCTGCTATGGAGCCATTTCCCCAGCAGAGGGAGGAGATTTACTGCCTAAACACTTTTTCTTCTTGTATTGCTTTACCTCAATTATGAATAATTTAATTGCTTTATAAATTAGCCCTAATGAGAGAGACTGTGCCTGCTACTTCTATGGAGGAACCTTTCCCTGTAGAGCTCAACAATAATCTTTAACTTCTGGCCAGTTCCAGCTTTTGGTAGCCCCTCTGGAGCTTTCCTTTGCTCTGTGGCCTTTGCGAAAGTCTCAACATAAAGCCATATCATTGTTTTATGGGGTTTTCCGTAATGGGAACTCTTTTTGCAGATGAGAGAGGCTAACTTGTGCCACCCTGTTCATTACTGGTTGGTGCTGAGGTACTGTTCATGCAAACCTTTTTTCTACGGTTGTTTCCATTTGTTTTCACAGTCAAACAGCACTCTGAATTTTCAACTTTTTCCTTAAGCAGCATATTTTTCTGCTTGTTCTGTACTTGTCAGGAAAGTCAGCATAAAGTTAACTTACCTCCTTGCACAGAAAGTAGCGTGAGAAATGATAGTATGCAAGTATTGTGCCGTACACTGAAAGCATAAATTGAGAGTGTGGAAAAGTAATCACTTTGTGTTGGTGTGACAGCTGTTTCATACTTTAAGAGATTAAAATGAGGAATTCAGTATGAATTTTTTTTTTTAATGGAGTGTTACACGGAGAGCATGGCAAGTTAAACTTCACAAAGGCAGAAGCAGAACTTTGCTGGATGAGGTGCTGTTTTATAGTCTATTTAATAACTCCCTCTTACATGAAGGTTTTTCAAGTACAAGAAAAATGTTTCTGTAATATGATTTTAAAATAAACAAGATGCTGTGAGCTGCTAGTTCACCAGATTACCCTTAGATGGTGCTGTCAGCTCCTCCACTGCTTGTGAAGGCTGAATGAAATGACTGATGTTGAAAGCATAAATGTTTTTTTCACCATCACCTATGGCAGTCCGTTTAGCATTGCAGTGACTCAACTGTTTTCTTAAGTTGTTGGCATGAGAGGCAACAAGAACTGTATGCCACGTCCTGTGTTTTCTCGCACTGCTGCTTCCCTGCTTGGAAGATCAAGGTGCTTTTTGCCCTTGTCCTCCACTTTTTCTAGAGTGATGGCTCGGTTTCTGCACCATTCCCATTTGGCCTCAGCAGCAAAAGTTGGAGAGAAAAGTGTAATCTCCAGAGTTCGCTCTTCTTGCTGCACTCATCTTTCAAGTGGGAACTGAATAAATGAGACTCTTTAGCCAGTCCTATCCTTGCCCTTTGCCGCTCACATAGTGCACGACCATGAAATGAGTAAGCAAGTATCTAGTTAAGGAATGTTAGGGGCAGGAAATGTTCTGCGAGTGGAAGGGTTGGGTGGCTTGCTGAAGTAATTTTGGCATTAGAAGTACAAGTGGTTTGGCTTATTTATGACTTTCTTCCTACCTCTCCCAGTGTCTTTTCATTTACTGCATGTCTTCCATGGGTATTGTGTAGGAAAACTCTGAATTGGGACTCTGGAGATTTAGATTCTGCTCCCAGTTTAGTAACAGATTTCATACAGCTAATCTTTTCCAGTTCCATTTCTGCTCTGTAGAATGTGATTATTACTACTTCTTTACAATGCACTAGGAAGATAAAAATGAATTTTTAAGACTGTCCTGATTGTATTTTACCATATAGCAGAAAAAACTACTTAAAAGCTCTTTTCAGCTGACTTAACTTCACCAAGTGTTGAACACTAACAAATAAAGTCTCACAGAAGTCTGAGATAGAGCTAGATTAGTTCATACATTGACCCTCTGAGCTCAGATTCACTCCCAGCTTGCTATACAAACTAGATGTAAACATCTTATTAAGATGGACCATGCTGCACTTGGTGCTAAAAGTGTATTTTCTCACTCTTCCCTCTTCCAGGAAAAGAATGCTCAGTTACTGGGAACAGCACAGCAGTTATTCACCCACTGCCAGGCACAGAAAGAGGAAATAAAACGTCTTTTTCAGCAGAAACTTGATGAGGTAGCCCTGATCTGGTAGAAGTTGATGCTTGTTAGTCATCTGCATGCAAACATTTTTGATAAAAATAAGTAAGACCAGAGTAGTCTCAGGTCTTCAGCCTCTGTTTTGCAGCAGATCATGCTAAATAATGTGGAATCTGTATCGCTCTTTGTTTATGTTTTATCTTCATTGTTGAAATTGTGTGCCACTCTATATCCAAGGGAAGGAGGTGACAGGCCACAGACACTGTGGTATTTTAGTAAAGGATGCATCCCCTGCTGGTTGAACAAACTGTTTTGCCAGGGCAAGTTCAGAAGCACAGAAGGAAATGTGGTGGTTCTCTAAAAAAATAGTGTTCTTATGGCTGGCAAGAAACTAAATGCTGTTTTTAAAGTTGAATTGCTGGAACACAGCTACAAGTGAGGTACTTTTGTCCTTCCTTGTTATCCTCTTGCAATGACAAAGTGCCTTGGAGAATGCTGGGGGACTTCCTATGAGCTGCATAGGTTCTGCAGATCTCCTTAATGTCACTTTTGAATGTGACAGTTGTCTGGAATTAGGGTGTCAAGACCTTATTGAATGATCTCTTTCCTTCTCACTCTTCATCTTGTAGTTGGGAGTTAAAGCTCTAACATACAATGACCTGATTCAGGCTCAGAAGGAAATCTCTGCTCACAATCAGCAACTGAAAGAACAGACGAAACAGCTGGAGAAGGATAACAGTGAACTCAGGAACCAGAGCTTACAGCTGGTGTGTACAATGCTTGTGCCTGAGTAGCAGGGTGATGCTCCCATTTATGTAAAGGAGGACAGGTCACGAGTTGAGGGCTGCCCCTGTCTTCAAGGTATCTTAACGAATGAAAGATCATACAACTGCTAGAGCTTGTCTTAACGGAGAAGAATGATGGGGGAAAGAATGCAAATGGTCCTTCTTCTTGGTGACCTTTACCTCTAAGCAAATGCTGAGGTGACAGTTGGCTCTGGCCTTGGCTGTCCCCCATAAACAGCTTTGCACCTGTATATGCATTTGTTGCTGAATCTGGATCTCGCTGGCCATGAAGTTTGTGTAGTGCTTGCTTTGTGGTAGCCATAACTCTTGTGGTGTTCATTGTGGTAACTCAAACTGTTAAGGTAGGTGAGGGGGAAATCTGGATGTGGAAGTGGGTAGGGAGGGTGAGTGATAACGGTTTCTAAAATGAACCAGGCTACCTCCTGCCACATTACCTGGGGACCACAGGACCATTTTGATGGCATTTGGCTTAAGCTGAGAGGAGTTTTCAATGGGCTAAGAAGCTTCTTGCATATATCCAGTTGAAAGGTGGCTGGCTTTCAGCTTGCACCTTGGCTGGTGTGAAGTGGTGAAAGTTGTCTTTTGATCTGTTTATCCTGTGTCTTTGCAGCTTAAGGCACGGTGTGAAGAACTGAAGCTGGATTGGTCAACATTGTCACTGGAGAACTTGCTGAAAGAGAAGCAGGCATTGAAGAATCAGATTTCTGAGAAACAAAAGCACTGTTTGGAATTGCAGGTAGAGAGCAAGAAACAAATCTAGAGTCACCAGCTTTGGGTAGCTCTTGGACAATGGGCCAGTTATGGGTATTTGACTAAATATGATGTTAAAGGATAAGCTGCTTTTCTCCACCCCCTCCTTCCTCTCCCCCTTCCTCCTCCCTTTTTTTCCTCCCTTTTCTGCCCTTCTTTTTTTTCTTTTCCTTTTTTTCCCCCCAGAGATTAAGCTTTCTATTAGAGGATTTTAGTAAACTTGAAGAATAAGGATGTAGATAGCTTTTAAAGGAAGTAGATGCTATGATCTGATTCCTTGGTAATGCTGTGGAAGAAGGAATCATGGTTTACCAATAAATATAATTTAAAAGCATGACCTCATGAAAAGAAAGGTCCTGCTTGTTTGCATGTGTGCTCTGATGTCTTGATTCAGGAATCGGTTCCCACAGAATGTCATTTACCTTAGTGAAAAGAAATTAAACTCCCGTGTCTGTAGAACTTTTCTTTCACTGTGAGATTAGCTCTAGAGCTAATCCAGCCTTTTGCTGGATGCCTTGACATGGAGTGACCGTTTCCTTCAATGACTGGCAATATTGAGTTACTCCATACTCTCTCTATAAGTTGGAGATAAAGATCTGAAAAGTGCTTTCTAAGAGTTTCTGAGCCATTTCCCTTACTTGTGCCTTTTGGTCTCAAGCTCAGAGCAGCATGTTGAAATTTGTTTCTCAAATTTGGGGTCAATTGTGCTGCTTTGTTCCTAGAAATGGGGCCACTTTTCCTGAGAAGCATATTGAGACAAAACTCCATAACATGATATAATTATTAAGTGTGGTCTTTAATCATTGTCCTCTTTTTCATTTAAAGATCAGCATTGTGGAACTTGAGAAAAGTCAAAGACAGCAGGAGCTCATGCAGCTGAAATCGTACACGCCGTCTGATGAGTCACTGTCAGTACAGCTACGCAATAAAAACCATTTGAGCCGTGATCCTGAGGCTGATCATGGCAGGTTCCAACTGGAGCTTGAATGCTCTAAGTTTCCTATGCCCCACATCAATGGCATGAGCCCTGAACTGTCCATGAATGGCCATGCTACTCCCTATGAAATTCATAACACCTTTAGCAGGCCCTCTTCCAAGCAGAACACCCCTCAGTACACGACCTCTCACTTGGACCAAGAAATAGTTCCGTGCACCCCAAACCACAGCAGCAGACAGAAGGCAGACAAGATGACAAGCTTGTCCTTACCTGATTATACCAGGTTTTCCCCAGCTAAAATAGCACTAAGGAGACACTTGAATCAAGATCATGGAGTCAATGGAAAAGCAGCAACTAATGAGATACAGAGGTAAGAGTGATCCTTTCCCTGGATGTGAAAGGAGGGGTAATTGCTTGTTTTAATAAGAGTGGTTTATTTGGATTGTGGAAAAATATTTTTGAAAGTGGAGGTTTATACACTTTTAGAAGTTTTGTTTCAAGAAAATCAGCAGTGCCAGCTGATTGGGTAAATGAGGTGGTACAGTGCCTTGATTTTGGTACAGAAACTCCTTGCAAAAGAGAAGTCATTAGCTTTTGTATTCTAACGATTGTACATCTCTGTTCCAGAGCTGACCATGTCAAAGAGAATGGCCTTACATATCCAAGCCCTGGTATTTCAAATGGCATAAAGCTGAGTCCTCAGGAAACTCGGCCCTCTTCCCCAGCGGCCTTACCAGTTGCAGGCGAGAAGGTAAGAGATCTGCTTGTGCTCAAGTGCAGAGATGTTACACCTGGTAGAACAAAGAAAAAGTTGGCTAAACTAAGGAGTGCAGGCATGTTCCTTTCTGTGGTCAGCTTGGCATGGAAAATACAGTAGGTGTCATACAATAAAAAGGAGCTGGCCAGAGGAGGAGAATACTGTGCTCATGAAAGATGTGCTTACCTCTGAGTTACTGGTTTGCATATGAACTGTGCCAGTAATGCAGTAGGACTTCTTTTTGGTCTGGTACATGTCTACTTGAACTTGAAAAGTAGACTCTTTCACAGTTAAAAAAATAAAAATAGCAAAAAATCGTCCACGTAGTTGGTCCAGCCATGAATCATGTCGGTGCTCATTTCAGAGCAAGCAGGTGCCTTCCAGTAGGAGGTTACCATGGAAATATTTCTGGCTACTACATCTTCTGCATACAGAGGGCCTGTACAAATTCTGTCAGATGAGTGCTTTTCACAGAGCTCTAACAAAGACACTGGAAAATGAGCTTGCCTAAGGCATCCTTTTCCTTATGCTTGGGGCCAGCAGTAGCTTTAATTTACATATTTCTATGCTGTTGGATATTGCTGTCCCAATAGTCTGGTGTTGGTAACAAAGCTGCTCCATGCATGCCCTGTCTTTGCTATATAGTCATCACTCTTTTTGTAATTCTTTAAAAATGAAAGGGGAGGGGAGGATGTCACACAAAATATAAATGAGCAGGCTACCATTAGTTTAAGAAGTCTTTTCAGTAATAGCATGTGGTTAAGAACATTACTTTCTCTTTTGCATTTACAGGTTTTGAGAGAGAGAACCTCTGTGAGTAATGGAGAAACTATCACCAGCCTACCTATCAGTATTCCTCTCAGCACAGTGCAGCCCAATAAACTCCCTGTTAGTATCCCTCTGGCCAGCGTAGTCCTACCTAGCCGTGTTGAGAAGGTGGTGAGTAAGGGATTGTCAACACTTTCCATCCCTAACTAAAATCACACTGGGCAGTAATGGGGTGCTGTGCTGTGCACCAGAATCCTTAGTGGGTTGTGAATCTTGAATGTCTGATACTTCGGGGGAGGCTGCTGTTAGGATGCATCCTCTTGGCTCTTAGTCATTCTGTAGATTTTTCCTCATGTGTGTGGGGGGTGGTGGTGTTTCAGCCAGGAAGGAAAGTAAAGTACCTGCCTCAAGAGATCCTAGTCTTAAATATCTGGCTGGGTGGAAAAGGCGCAGAGTCTGAGAGTCTGTGGCAGTGAAAGCAGAGGAATCACACGTGTCAGTTTGTTCTTAGCCCCTGCTTTCTTGCATGACCCTGAGAGACAAATTCTTCTGCCTCAGTTTGGTCACCTCAAAATTGTCTATCTTTATTACATACGTGTGTAGGATGAACTTGAATAGCAACTCAAGGCTGTAATAACTTAACGTGTGAGTGACTGCTCTGTAGCAGCAGAGAGCAACTAGAGAACTTTTGGGGCCATCTCTTTTTGAAATCCTGATAAGTTCATGCCACACTCAGTGGTAGAGGAGTTTTAAAAAGCCTGGTCCAGTTTCTCATAAATGTGACAAAAGTGTTACAGTAGAGAACTGAGGAGTGTTTGCTGCTTTCACAAGAGCTGTGCATTTAGAATCCATCCAGAGATGCTTGCCTTACAATCCCATATTGGGAAAGCTGGAGTTGTTTCATAGTATTGAATCCATTATCTTTTTCCAGCTGTAGACTTTTAGTTGTAGCAGAACTACAGTCTGCCCAGCTCCAAGCAGAAGTCTTCTGTCCTCAGAGAGAGAGAATGTTAGCTCTGGATGGCATTTCTCACTTCAACACATTGTTTATTCAGGCTACCATTTCACAATTGTTCTGCCTGCTTTAGGAAAATACCGCTTGTTGATCGTACCCTTTGATAGTGTACAAGAGAACATAGGCTAATGCATTTCATGTTCAGTTTGGGGTTGTTTTGGGAAACTTCGTGTGCGCAGGCTTGGGGACATGATACAACCATTTGTTTCCTTTCTGTCTGCTTGTGAAACAGTGGACTGAGGCATTCATTCTCTGATTGCAGTGCTGTCCTGAGTCTAAACTTTCTGGGATGATCAGCCTGTTCTCCCTCTATCTGCATGGTATCTGTTGTGTGCTAGATACTATTGCAGTATAATTATTCACGGTATTTATTTTTGTCCCATAACATGCTGATCTATGTTTTTCTCAAAACAAGAAAAATCTAGGACGTTTAGGAAGTAGAGCCACTTTCCTTGTAGATCTACTAATGCATGTGAATTTTGTTTAAACTGTTGACTTTTGAGTATACTTCCTGTACTAAAATGCCTCTTTCTCTCCCCCCAGAGAAGCACACCTAGCCCAGTTCATCAGAGTAGAGACTCATCGACACTTGAAAAGCAGATTGGTGCTAGTTCTCATAATGGCGTAAGCAATGCTGCTGGAAACAAGCCACTGGCTTTGGCTACCTCAGGTAACAGCCTCGTCTATGTGAAGGTGCACTGTCTTGTTGTGACAGCACCCCCAAGTGCAGGCATCGGAGTTTTCTGAGCACTTCTTGTCAGGTCATTCAGGCAGTAGAGTGCTAGATAAACGTGTGTTTTGTAACAACACCAAAGAATCAGGGATGATGATGTTTTGAGACAGTACGTGCCTACAGCTTGGCTGCATTCTGGCATGAAGTACTGGTTTGACATGCCTTTACCTGAACTGCAGCACCTTGCAGTGTAAATAGAAGAATTTACAAAAGCAATTATTTATGTGGATTAAGAGATTCCTACCTGTGGCAAAGTGTTGCATAGCTATGCTATGAGCTGATGATCTGGCTTTAGAAGTTTTATTTTACAGGGTGGTGGAGGTTTTTTAATAACAAAATTAATTTCTTGATGTAGGTCACAATGGTGCCTCATGAGCAGTTGTAAAGGCACAAGTATCCGAGTAGGAAGAAAGGTCAAATGGGAGAGGGTAGGGATACCTTTAAGTGCAGACATTGCTTCTGAACTTGCTCATCTGCTGAAACTGTGGCCTTTAGCTATTCAGGATATGGAAATGTGGACCAGGAAAAGTAGGTTCTAGCATACAGAAGCTATTCTACAGCTGATCCCTCATCAGAGAGTGCACTTGTTCTTAATGTTTACCACCTCAAGGGGCTTGTGTTGTTTCTAGCATCTGTTTTGCAAAGAAGGGCTTGGCTGCAGTTTTCTATAAAACCAATGAAGTATTTAAAAAAAATCCGTGTTGTAAAACAATAATATGTTCCCTTCTACCCCCTTCATTTAGACAGCCCAGAGACAAGGCCTTACTGGAGCCCTAAACCTATTTATGATACACCGTGACAAATATGTAATTCCCTTTCCAAGCTTCCTCCCATATGGCATTCTTCTGTCACAATTTCTTTGAAGATCCCCTGTCACTTCCTAAGCCACAGCCTTTTGTTTAATTTTGAGAAGGAGGTGAGCTGTGTGGATGACAAAGTCCCTTCTTTTTTGGAGAAGGAAATGGACTGAATTTGGCTGTCTGTTTCCTTGATGATAGGAAGGAATTGAGAGTAGAAGAGCCCTGATTTCAACAGGCATAATAGTTCAAAAGAAACTTATACTTGAATTCCATTTAAAAATCGGATAGAGCATAGGATATCTCCATATAACACCTGAATTTTCCTGAACTGGCAAAAGAGTAGTGAAAAATCATTAAACCCTGACTGAAACTGTCAGCACACAGAGCCACGTTCTCAACTGCACTGTGTAAAAAGCAGCTGTGCAGTTTTCCATGTAATACATGGCCACTGGCTGATCTAATGCAGGTAGAGCTGAAATCACTCCCAGTCATCCCAGAAATCTAGCACTGTGAACTATCACTCAGCAGAAGCAATGATGTATAACTTTCCCTTTCAACAGGTTTTTCTTACTCTTCTGGCTCCGTGGCAGTCAATGGAAATCTTACAAACAGCCCAGCCCATCTTAACCATAGTGTTGATCAGGCAGCTCTGGACGACTCTGGGAGTCTGTTTAACTCAGTAGGGTCTCGGAGTTCCACTCCACAACATCCTTTGCTAATGATGCAGTCAAGGAACTCTGGGCAAAACTCCCCTGCTCACCAGCACTCAACAAGCCCCAGGTTAAATGGCACCTCCCAGAGCCTGGTAGGGGTATTGCAATATGCAGATGCTCAGAAGATGTTTGCCGAAGGAACAAAGGGGGATCTTCAGTCTGATGCAGCGTTTTCAGATCCTGAGAACGAGGCCAAGAGAAGAATCATCTTTACAATCTCTCCTAATACAGGACATGTAAAACAATCCCCTTCCAACAAGCACAGTCCTCTGCCCACGAGCGCTCGGCTGGACTGTGGCCAAGCACACGCGCAGGATGGGAAGAAGCGAGGCCGGCGGAAGAGATCCTCTACTGGGAATCTCAGCGGGAACTCCGGGGTCTCCCCTAAACGCAAATCCTTACCTACTGTGTCTGGACTCTTTACACAACCATCAGGTTCACCGCTCAATATCAACTCCATGGTAAGGGCAAAAATGAAGAGCTCTAGCAAGAAAGGCAGGCCTGGGAAAGCTCTTTGAATTAGAAATAAGGTTCAACTGTTCTATTCTTCAGCATACTTGCAGGCTGTTACAGTGCTAGTAGCTAGAATTGGTCTGAAGATCCTTTGTGAAAATGGCCCCTCTGAGTGGCAAGAGAACTGCTGAAAAGTTGGTGAACTATTTCTGTATAGGTAGAACATCTTCAGAGTTCTTTGCTGTCAGAATATTAAAAATAAAAATAATCTCTTCTCTTATGACAAAGAGCTTGTTTCTGCAGTGAAGTTGATTTTTAGGCTGTAGGTTAAATATTTTGAAAATAGTTTAAACTAAGATTGACTAAATAGTGTAAGAGTGCCAGAAGCATATGGCATTCTTGCATAATTAAGCCAGCTATACAAGTTGTGTTCATGTGGATCCTGCAATGATAGTTTGAAAAGAAACGTGATTATTCCATGTCTTCGTTTTTGCGTTTAAACATAAAATCAAAGAATGAAAATTAGATATTTTTCCAAGTTATATTTAAGCTTTCATGCCGGGTTCTAATGCAGGGTGGTGGAATATACCAGCAGCAGTGCTAAACAAGCAGCTGTCGGCATATCCTAAAGCTGAGCAAGTTAAGCCTGCTTTTAATATCCTTAACAAGATGCTTTGTTTCTAAAGGGATAGTCTCATCTGTAACTGCTTTCTTTCCTTCTTGCCCAGGTCAATAACATTAACCAGCCTTTAGAAATAACAGCCATTTCCTCTCCTGAAAACTCCCTGAAGAACTCTCCTGTTCCTTACCAGGACAATGACCAGCCCCCGGTACTGAAAAAGGAAAAGCCCCTCATTCAGACCAATGGCGTTCATTACTCTCCTCTAACATCAGATGAAGAGCAGGGATCTGAAGATGAGCACAATAGCAGCAGGTGAATACAAAGGCGTAGGTTTCAGGATGAGATTTCTCTGAGAGCTGGTAACGGTGCTCTAAACTGGAGAGGTGTGTTAAGCCTTCTTTGTTCCCTTTGCTTGGAGACCAATTGCATTATGCCAAGCCTCTTATACAGCTGAAATTGTGAATAGGGAAGGTATTTAAGAAGTAGTACTTGAATGTGGGGACCTACTGTTGCTGTGTTTGCAAGGCTGATGGAGTCTGGCCTCTGAAAGAATTAGTGTAGAAATGATTTTTTTTTTTTTTTACTATGTTGCTTTGTAGGAATACTGAGGCTGTGTGTACAATCTTTAACTAAGAATCTGTCTCCTATTCACTACCAGTTTCAGCTTGATTCAAAATTCTTCACTTCCTGCCCCAAACTGTTGATGTGTTGCTCTGAAAATTGAGTACTTGCTACCCTTTGCCTGCCTGTGGGGTGCAATTTTTTTCTTGTTTAAGGTGCTGGAAAAGTAACCACTATAGAAATGCGAGCAACAGCCTACTTCTTGTTGTGAAAGAAAAGCAACAATGAAGTCCTCTGAATGTGCGCTAATCTTGGCAAAGAGCAATAATTCTGTAATAGCTTCTACTTAAAGTTTGTGGTGGTTGTTTTTATGCTTTTAAGTTCCTTTAGTGTAACATACGGCAGTCTAGCTGACAGCTTTACATACTTTAGTCAACTGTTAAGACGTGAACATGAGGAAGATAGGTTATGAGGGTGAATGTGCAACCAAAGGTCTGCAATGAGAGCTATAACCTTTTTATTTTCCCACTAGAATTGAGAGGAAAATTGCAACAATATCATTGGAAAGCAAATCTCCACAGAAGACTGTTGAAAATGGTAGGTGTGAGGAATGTTTTATTTCTTGTAAAGGTTGGACTTGGGAATGGGTGTCTGCCACTGGCTGAAGTTGTTAGTCAGTAGCAGGCTTTTCTGTGCTGCTGAGGGGGGTGCAGTTTTGCCAGGGCTTTGCATAATCGTGATTAAGACAGATGGCTGATAATTGCAGATTTTGGGTCAGTTCTTTCTGTAGTCACAGGTCACCAAAGATCCGACCGTTTTTTTCTCAGACTCAGGATTTTGGGAGAGATCTGTAGTACAAAGACTAAGGAAAAAGTAGATCAGCGTTCTCAAACTTTTTCAGAGCATTAAACTAAAGTTTAAGGACTTTTAGGTGACTTCACAAACATTTCTGCCTTTGGACCAGAAATAGAATTACAGACTGATAAAATGGGGGTGTCGAAAGATAAAACCCTGTTCTTAATGAGCAGATTCAGCGAATGCTGTTTTTTGACTTATAAATTTTCTTTCAAACTAGGCATCAGCTTATCTGGGAGGAAACAAGCACAAAGCAACGAAAACATGAACAGCAGTAAATGGAAATCTACTTTTTCACCAATATCTGACATCAACCTGACCAAAACTACAGATAGTCCCTTGCAGTCGGTTTCATCTCTGAGCCAGAATTCGCTGTTTGCCTTCAGGCCGTCCTCCGAGGATAGCCTTGCCATCGACGCCAAGATCACAGCACACACAAGGAAAAGCATTGCCATGCCCTCGTCTGGGGCAGATGGGCTCAGCCCTAGTACAAATTCCACTAATGGGTTCACGTACAATGGTGGACTGTCAACTGACATTGGTTTACACAGCTTTATCGATGGTGCTTCTCTTCCGCATAAGGCTTCAGATGTGACGACTTCCAACTGCTCCCTGGGTTTCCAGTCGCAGCGAAGCAAAGATGTGGGGGTATCAGAAACAAATCCTTTTTTGAACAAGAGGCAACTCGAAGGCCTCAGCAGCACGAAAGGAGAAGACTTAAATCGGTCAGGGGTCAAAGGCAAAGAAATCGGTGAAATAAGCATTCGTACTGGGGGTTCTTCAGAAAAAAACTCTTTGCAGCATAACGGAAAGGTTGGCAAAGGAAGGGACCGAGATGTGGAGTTTAAAAATGGCCACAACCTTTTCATTTCTGCTGCTGTTTCATCTGGTGGCCTTCTGAATGGTAAAAGCCTTTCTACTGCTGTTTCTTCAGCAGGCAACCCAGCATCTTCTGTTCAGACACACCATCCTTTCCTAAACACTTTGACCACTGGATCGCAGTTCCCCCTCGGCCCCATGGCCTTGCAAGCAAACCTCAACTCGGTGACAAATTCCTCAGTATTGCAGTCCTTATTTAATTCAATGCCAGCTGCTGCCAGTCTGGTCCACGTGTCATCAGCTGCAACCAGACTGACTAATTCTCACACTATGGGGAACTTCTCTCCTGGGGTTACAGGTGGAACAGTTGGAGGTAGGCAGAACTCTTTCTCTGGTATAAGACAGGGCCTAAAGGAAAGTCTGACACTGCCTCTCCAGGGGTGAAACCCTTTCATTTCTGCAGGATGTGAAGCAGATCTGTCCCACATAACCAGTCTTCTCTATCTCTCGGAAATGCTAGGATGAGTTCAGTTCCCCACAGTGAAATCTCATGAGCTTTGTCTACTAGATGAGCTTGTTGTATCACCTTAATGAAAGAATACACCCAGACTTTGTGATTTCATAATGTATGCTTGTTCAGATGTTGCTGTGTTGGAACCAACTTAGGTCTGCCTGCAGGTAAAAGATTTAACTTGTCCTGGTACCAAGTTAAGGATCTCTAACTTGTCAACTTGAGTAAAGGTTGAGATTAGGCCTTGAATGGATTTAGCATGATCCAGGAAGAGCAAAACATCAGTGCCTCTTCAGAGGAGATGGTGTTGGGAATTGCGTAGCATTCTGGCTCTTGAATGGACACGAAGAGCATTTCTTTGCCAGGAAGGGCAATGCCATATGCACCTTGCACTTCTGGGATTCTGCACAGGCTTGGCTTCTGTGGCCCAAACCGGAGATAAGCTGGCAGGACTAGAAGATAGTCTGAACCTGCCGTTACTAAGTGTCCAAGGCAGTTTTTCTTACCTGTCCATAATCATTCAGGCACCATGTCGGGAAATCCTAACTCTCACATCTCTCAGCACATAGATTTGCTGGAAATACAATCTCCCCTCTGCTGCCCTGTAAGTGGGAAAGCAGGAGGGTGGGGAGGGAAGAGCAGCAGTTTGAGTCTTCAGATAAACAACTCTAGAGACCACGTAATCTCATCAAAAGTCTACCCGTGTGGTATAGAACTGACAGTTCTTGGGTCTGACCATTTTTCCTCGTGGCATTTAGAGGTTGGCAGTAGGAAAGGTAAGTGAAATCTTTTGTACCTCCTGGCCTGCACCATTATCTCTCATTGCTTGCTGCCTTCTCATGCTGCATATTTTTGTATGGGGCTGTAACTATTATAATTTTGCTTTTTTCTTTTTTTTTTGCTTTTTGTTTTGTTTCTCTTGTCACTTGAGACTGTACAAAGCCCATCTGTTGAAGCTGAGTTTTTCTCTCCTGTTTGCAGGTATTTTTAACCATGCGGTGCCTTCTGCCTCCTCTCCTCATCAATTTGGAGCCAGTTTCAGCAGCAGTGCTGTCTCTAGCAGCACAGTGCTAAGCTTAAACCCTCTGCAGGCTGTTGCCAGCACCTCATCCTCATCCTTCCCACCCCCTTCCTCTAATTTAGTAACATCTAGTGAGACTAGATCTGCTCAGCACCTCAACAGAGCGCCAGTGCAATCCGTTTTTCATTCCCCTCCACCTCCTCCTAACGTGTCATTGCCCCCACCTCCTCCATTACTTGCTTCTAACTCTGAGCCTGCGCTTCTGCAGAACCTGCCATCCATCCCACCTGGTGAAGCTTTTTTGCCATCTTCTTCTTCTGCTGCTTCTGTCCAATCTGCTAATGCTTCTTTGTCTATTAAGCTAGCTTCTCTCCAGCACAAAACTTCCCGCCCCTCCTTTACAGTCCATCACCCGCCTCTGCCCCGTTTGGCGCTGGCACAGTCCGCGCCCATGATCACGCAGTCCAACGCAGCTGGCACGTCCGCTATGTGGGTTACACTTGGCATGCAGTCTCCTTATGCTTCGCACCTTTCTGGGGTTAAGCCACGATAAAGAGCTTGCTTAGCTAACAGTTCTTATTTTGTAAGGTAAGGCTAGAGAAAAAAAAAGAGGAGTTTTGTACAAGATGCTGAATGATGCTTCTTCCTTTTCAGAGATAGGTTGGGGATGGGCTCTGTGAAACAGAGAAAACTCTAAAATGTGGGAAGCAAATAATCTGATGGCAGAGGATGGAGAGTCTTAATGTTCTCCGTTCTGGGAGTCAGGATTTCTCGACAAGGAGTGCTCGCAATGGTTAACTCTGGTCTGTCTCATCTGACGTTAGGATTATGTTCAGGTTGAGATGACTTAATGAAAATGTTTATTTCTGAAGATCAGCAATCAGGAGGAAATGTCTATTTTTAAGTATGGTTTTATACAGTTATTGGAAGAGGTTGTTGCCTACTTTGATTCCCCCCTTCCCCTTTTCTCGCCCTCTGACACAGACTGTTGCATCTCCACAAGTCCATGTTCGCATAGCATTAGGATGCTTGATGGTGCTGCTTTGTGACTGTATGTGGCAATGTGGTGGTCTTGGTTTTACTGTCAGTCAACAACAGCTGCTCTAAATAATCATAAATTTAAAAATCTCTAGGTTACAAGCTGCAGCTTTGTCTTAGAGAGCAAATGCACTGGTCTTGCATTGCAGTTAATGTGCCTCCTGCATCAATGGAAAACACAACCACAGGTAGCAAAGAAGGGTTGTAAATTTATCTGTGCACTGCAGCTTTATTGGACTTGTCTACTAGGGCTAACAGTAACAGACTCCCATCAGATGCTGTATTTATGCTCACTTGGTGATCACTGGCTTACGGGGTAGACTGTGAATGAGAACATAGGGAATGTGCAGGGTTAACTGTGGTCTGTGCTTCATAAAGGCTGGGGCCATAGAAGTGAAGAGGGTTTCCGGAGACTGTATGCATTTTTACTGAAGCAGGTATTTAAATGTCTTTAGAGCAACTCCAGAATAAAGTGTACCACCACAGAGTTGGGTACTGTTGTTAATGAAAATACTCTGTGGCATCCTGATGTAACAACTTGTGCTTGCAAAGTTAAATCAGTATGTTAGGCCCCAGAGCTTGCTCCATGCTTTTCTTGTAGGTCTTTGATGTTGTTGCTGTTCACTGATACCAAAGCTACATACAATATGTGGTTGAATACTCTTTGCCGCTTATAAAACATATGACTCAATTACAATATACCTGAGAGATTCTTTTGACTGTGCATTGTGTATAGTGTCTTCATCATCAAATTGCTCCACAGACACGAACAAATCTTCATTAGGCTTTTGTGAGGCACGTAAGTATTACCTCTGTCCTTCTATACAAGAAAGTGAGGCTGAGGAAGAGTTTTGAGAAGTGTGGTCCCTGCGTGCCAGCAGAGACCAACGGTGTGATGTGGTTACAGAATGGGCTTGAAAGACCCTGAATAGAAACAAGATGGGGGAGAAGGGGCGAGAAGGGTCAGGCTTGGGGTTTTGTATACATGAGCAACTCAAGTGAGAACAGTGTGAAAGCCTTCTGCTGAAGCAGTAGCCTTACCTGGAACTGAGGTCATGTTGGGATAGACTCCATACCATTGGATGTGATGGTTCCTGTCACAAAAAGGTTCCGAGCAAAATAGGCAAGGCACAAAAGGGACGTACGGAGAAAAGTAGCTGGGTGACAAAGCTGGATTGTGGAGCAAAGGAGCAGAAATAATGCTACCAGGAGATGGTGTATGACAGACGTACCGTAGTTGTGGTCCCACTCTGTGACTCTTTAACATAGGTCAAATATTTGAGCAGTTTCATTGACTTCGGTGCGAATACGTGTGCTCAAGAGTCCTTGATGAATCAAGGTTGAAATCTGGAATTGGAGGCTAAAATAAATTGCTTTGCTTTGCTTCTCATAATGTTTCTCCCCTATAGCAATAAAAAATTCAAAGCAGATCAGTGCGTGCTAGAAAAAGGTGAAGTACTGAGTGGGGGAATACTTCCCCCCCGCCCCAAGGTCAGTCATAGGAGGATGGAGTTCAATATGATTACACTGTCAGAAAGCTTTAAAAACTGCAATGGCTGGGAGGGGCCACTTGTCACTCTTGCAGGCATCCTTTCCATCTGATTGTGGTTGGTGTCAAGAGTTGCTCCTTCTTTGCTGGCTAATGAGGTCTTGGAGCAATGTAGAAGTGATTGACACATCTAACACTTGGTAGATTGTCTTTTATTTAGATGAGTCTCTTCCTCTCCTCCTGTTGTGCAGGTAACTAGGATTTCTACCTCAACCCAATGTGACCTATGCAAGGACAACGTGGACCAACTTCACTCGGCTTCCACTGAAAGGTGCTCACCTGGCCTGTGCAGGGGTTTCTACTCTCTTACTACTGGACAAAAAAACCATAAAAAGACCTAAATAACAGAGAAAATATTTACTGTGAATCTGAGTAAAAAAGAAAAAAGGAAAAAAAAAAAGGCAAAAGAAATGCTTAAAGCTCCAGTTTGTATTGTTGATAGTTTAGATAAAGTATTTATCTTTTTTTAAAGTGAAAACAATTTTGACTTATTTTATTCCACCTAGAATCATAAATACAACTTATTATTAAATTCTCTGAATAATAAAGGACTGGCACACCAGCAGAGATGTAAAGAGCCTCCTCTCGGTGCTATTTCATCCGTCAGAACTGTGCCTCTAGTTTGAATCCTTGGTGCTGAATTTGGAGGGTTGACCAATGCCAAACCCAGTTCTCAGAAAGGTCTGCAGTTTATTTATTCAACTTACTCTGTTCATATACCAAAATCCACTTGGTTTGCAGCAGTGTGAGCTATGGAGAAAAGCAGTCTTCTATCTAATGTTTTGTTTTAATTTGAACTGAGCCAGGCACTCTGTTAACTGGGTGGTTTTTAATTGTGTTCATTACAAACAAGAACTCGGTACTCCCCTCTGGAGTGGCAGCTAAAGTACCTGGCATGGCCCAGGCAAGCTCAGCCAATGCAGTCACAGTTTGAACAGCAGAAATTCAAGTCCTGCCCCATTCAAACTACTTCACTGGGCCATTTGCAGTTGCTGGTGGCACTCAAGTCACTGTGAATTTTGGTAGCTAGTCTGGTAACTTGTTTGGGGATGTCATTGGCATATGAACAGGGTGCATAATCACTGGTATTGGTCAGGCCCTTTCTACCAGCGTTGGGAAGACTGAACTTAGTGCTTCTGTACTGGTGCAGGTAGCAGATTTTCTCAGCTTGTTGTTTTTGTTCCAAGTACAATGTATTTTGTTAGTAGGGTTTTGATACTTGATTCAGAAATGGCTTAGCCGTGTACATTTATTGACAAAGTGCATTTTGCTTTTGTATTTCTTTGCTTTAAGTAGGTCTAAATGGTAGTTCACAAAAACACCACAATCTAGCTTACCGTGCTGCCACACTATCAAACTGGTGCAGTTAATTGTATTGTGACTTGGTGTTCTGTGTACAGAAAGTGCCGCTCTGAGCAGTGGCTGTATTTTATAGAGATGTAATGAAAAATTATAAATTTCATATACTTTATTTCATTTATTTTTAGATTGTACAATGCACAGTAAACTTGTAAAAACTTATTTATTCGAGTGCACAAAGTGAGGAGAAGGATGATCCATTAAGTAGAAATCACGCTGGTCCATAGTTCAGACTGGACCAAGCACCAATAAAGGAAACTACAGTAAACGAAGGGGAATTGCAACAGCGAAATGACTGGAAGAAAAAGATGTTTAGGCTTTGGGAAACATCTGCCTGCTAGCCCCAGTGCTCTGAGGGGCAGCACTGACTGCTCTGCGTCAGAGGCACTCACTGTCCTTAAATCCCTTCTAGGTTGCTAGCGCTCCCTAATGAGTCTCCCACCTCCAGCAATTGGGCATTCACCTTAGACTTGAGCCCTGCCTTACCAGCCACCTGACGGAGCATCCCACAGTCACAAAAAGCTGGGCTGAATGCATTAGCTGTTTAGCTCCTGCCTCTGTGTTTGAAGTAGGCAAGACATCTCTGCCCTCGTGCTCTCTCCTGCTACCTGGATCCAGGTTGTGAGTGCTGTGCTGGCTGTGTTCAAGAGAGTGGTGGGGGTGAGGTGGCATAGCAGCCTACCCTCTACAGACTTCAGTTAGGCCCTTTTCTCTGTACCTCATCCCTGGCAATCTTAGTAGAGATTTAGGACAAAGTGCAGTTATTTTGTTGATTCCTAAGTGTCTTCCATAGGCAGCCTTTGTGTGCAGAAACTGTTGATCTAAATTTGCCACCTTACTCACCGGAAAGGGAAAGGATTGATAGCCCTGGAAATTAGGGACATTTTGGAACTGTTTTCTGCTTTGTGTGTGGGAGAGGACTTGACAGCGGTGTGCCCTGCTGAGTTACTAACAGCAAGACGAAAACCTAGAAAAGGGCAAAAATGCTCAGAGGGTGATAGCTGAGAAACATCCAGTAGCTTCTAGTAGAAGCTGTACACAGTGTATGTCCTGGAATCCAGGAAGACAGTGTAACCCAGATGTTTTGCACCTGGGAGTTGGGCAGCTCCAGCTTCTTCCAGATCCTCGGGTAACTGGGAAGTTGTAGAGCTGCCTTAGCATCCTTCCCAGCAAACGGTGGAGTGCTCAGGTCTTTGAAGACTTTAACTGGTAGGCTGTGCTGAAGCAATTGCTGGAGGGGCAGCAGCCTTAATTACATCTCGCCCCTATCATTTATATCCCTGATGAGAGAGATGAGGAAATACAAGTAGAAGGTTTTAATCACTCTGCTTTTATCAGATCCTTTTCTGAAAAGGGACCAAGATACAGTGCTCCTTGGACCTCTTGTGCCGCCCTTCATCTCAAACTGCAGAAGACATCCAGCAAGAGAACTCGGCTGCCATCAGTTGTTCTGTATGGGTACGGTTCGCTTGTGCTCATACCCGAGGCACTCACAGGACACTAGCAAAGATGCCTGTTTGGAGAAGGAACTGACTTGCAGAGCTCTGTTGGACCTGCTGTGCTTTCCAACACCTGCTCGAGGCCTGTATCGCCCAGCTGGCTCCTGGCACTCCTCCTTGGCTGAAGAGGAAGGCCAGATCCTTGTTGCGGGAATGACTTGCTTTGCCCTGAGGTTCACAGCATTTCAGGAGTTGGTGTCTGAGGAGCAAGGCACAACTGTCAGACATGGTTTAGTGGTGGACTTGGCAGTGTTAGGTTTATGGTTGGACTCGATCTTAAAGGTCTTTTCCAACCTAAATGATTCTATGACCCTTTGGAGCAAAGGCCCTGGCCAAGGAGTTTGTCATCTGCTCTCCAGTGGGTGTTGTGGAAAAGCAAAACTCCCTCTGTCCCTCAGTGTCACCTGCGGTAGCAGGTGCTTTGGTGATCGGTAGTCAGCCAGTGTCTATTGCAGGACTTGCTCATCAGCAGCCATCGGAGATCAGCAGCACGAGCCCACTTGCTGTAGCTGAGCACGTGTGCTATCAAGACATTTTCAACTCCCCAGCATTTTGGAGTCTGTGACTCTCCAGCCATCATCCAGGAAGGCCAAAGGAAACCAGATGCTGACCCAGGAATAAACACGTTGGGACGTACTTGAAAGAGATTCAGTCCGCTGGCCAACCTGCTGAGCATCTGCTTCAGCCTCCTGGAGTCCGTTGGGACTGGGTCTTCATCTACCTCTGCATCACCTCCGTGCTGTCATTCCCCGTGACCTGACATTTCCATCTTGGCAGCCCACGCTGCAGGAGTCTGGAGCTGCTCTGGCCTTGCCAGTGTCTTGCGCCCACGCCCGGCACTGTTGGCACCTTCACCTTGCGATGCATTGCATAATTGCAATGCATTTTACTTGTGTGGCAGCTCTAATCTAAATCTTTGTAGTAATCCCCACTGAGATGTGCTTCCAGGAAGGTGCCTGATAAGCTAATGCTTGTAGGGAGTAGCATGAGATGGGAAGCCAAGCGAGTGCAGGTTTTGGACTGATGTCTTAGTATTGCATTAGCTGGGAGATGTTGTTGCCAAGAGATTTGTGGTGTTGTCTTTGCCTTAATCTCGGGCAAGTTCAACTTGTTTCTCCTCTGTCTGCAAAATGGGGAGAGCATTTACCTTGCTGTAGGACTGCTGAGGGAATAAATAGCTTTGAGATGTTAAGATCCATGTGGCTACAAGAATAAGACCCTCGTGACCCTACTGTAGGAGTGCTGTGCCAGAGGTCTGAAACCTGTTTTCAATAATTGGAGATACTTTTGAGTAATCAAAGCCAAACACCCAGTTCCAAAAAGGAATTCCTTCTGCGTTACCACATCCTGACGGGTCCAGTTGTTTCGTGGCTGTCACACATGTTCCTTCTCCTCCACGCCGCTGCTGCCAGCGAGGGACTCATCAGGAAGCTAAAATACATCTTGTAGCACATATGTTGCCAAAAAAAATGGAACTTCCTGAGTGTTGTGCTGAGCAAAACCTGTGTCCCGCTGCTAAATGTCAGCCTTGAGGAACAAGCCTTGCACGCTCTTCCTTTTTTGGTGATTTGCTACCTCTGGCTCGTGCTTGCTGGGTTCAGTCCACTGAGACCCGCCGTGCTGTGAAGCTGGGAGCGCTCCAAAAGCACTAAACCTAAACTCACTATTTGCTGCAAATTAGTCATTCAGCAACAATTCTTCCATTAGCCAGAGGTGTGTGGGGCACCCAGGAGTTGGATTTCTCCGCTTTTCGTGTAGCGGAGGGATAAAGTGGGAAAACATTGCTAGAGGACATAGACGCTTGGGTTGTTGCAACTGAGTTGGTGTGCAGGATGACATGGAATTCAAGCTGTCACTGCATCGCCTCGTGTTGGTGCAAATGAGGCTGCTTCCTTTAGGAAGGTGTGGATCGGTCTGGACAACCATAATGGTGGGAAGCATCTTCACCTCTCTTAGTTCAGGTTGTAGGTGCAGTCGGGGAGAGGTGAAAGGGAAACTGCTTTTTGGGGGAGCTGCCAACAACAGGGAGTGCAGCGCATCCTGGATGTACATGACATTTGGAGACAGCACCATCTCCGACTAGTTTCTTCTAATAGCAGCAACTCATGTCTCCTTGGCCAGACAAACATAGAAATATTTTCTTGTGCTTCCATCTCATTTCCTTCCTTCCTGGTGGTGATAACCACTTTATCTTTTAGCTCACAGTTTGTGCTCACCCTGCTGTTGGCTGGGGTTTGGCTTGGCTCTGGGTGTGGGCTCAGCCTGGGTTGTGAAGCCTGAATTCCCCCTGTGCCAGGACTCGCTGGTGGATGGGCATGTGGGGATGAAGGTGAGCTTGTAGAGTCTCAATCTGTGATTGCACATATAGTCGCTGAAGTACCCCAGGCAGGAAGGTTGCATCACTTGATCGTGAAGGGATCTCCTAGTCAGGGGTTTTGTGAATCAAGAGCTTTCAAATCCCCAGGACTTGACACTCCTCAGCCTGAAACTCACCCAACTGTTTGTCATACTCAGTTACTAAATCTCAAAGTGTTGAGTAGCTTGCTTTTTCCCTCAGTCAAACTAATACCCGAGCAAGTAACTTCTTTATTTGAAATCTGCTGAGCAGATAGGTTTCAGGCTTGATAAGCTCTTCCGTTGCATCTGAATAACATTTTAAAATGGAGCATTCCTTCACTACTGCTTGGCCATCGTGGCTGGTTGGGGTTCACTGTGTGGCTCAGTGCAGCATGGTCAGGCGTGTGGCTGCCTGCCTTCACCCTGCTGGGGACAAGAGATTCCTTCTCGGAGGCATTGATAACACTTCTTCCTCAATCATCTTCTTCAGGGGTTGGATTAGATGACCTTTAAAGGTCCCTTCCAACCCAAACTATTCTATGATTCTGTGATTCTCTGTACAGACATATCTGGGATAGTTGCTTTGCCTCAGAAAATAAATGGGAGGGCTGTGAGCAAGAAGGAGATGGATGTAAGCCAGATCTGCCTCGCCTGCTTTTATTGCAGTGCAGATTCATACCGAACGCAGTGGGGCTATAACAGCGTTTGCAGGTCGGGTGCTCCACACCATGGTGGGTTTACTCCCCGTGGTGGTCAGGTTCTGTCTCATCCCAGCCTTCCCTGCAGAGGAGGCTGTGTCTTCCCATACTGCTGGGCTTCCCCTTCCAGGAGAAGGTCTTTTGTTCTGGAGTAACGAGGCCACGGACAGGCAGCTTGGGGTTGCCTCCAGGGACCTGTGTGGTTTGATTCTTGCTAGGATTGTGTATTTAGAAAGCAGCATCTGCTCCCCCCACCCGTTATTTTTCCACTTGGAAGAGAGTCCAAGCGGAGGAGAGGCTGAGTGATTGCATGGCAGGGGAGAGCATCAGCAGATGCAGAGCTGGTATCTGCAGCGGGGTAGACTTGGCTTTTGTTCAGGTGATTGTTTTTTTTTTGGGGGGGGGACAGTCACTGGGAGCAGTTTGAGGGCCAGCATGCGCTTTCATCTCCTCCGAGTTTATTCAGAGGGCCCACCTCTTTGTGACTCTTGTGGATACAACGGTGGCCCTCGCACGAGGACCTGGGGGACCTGCGCCCTCATGATGCTCCTGCAGCAGGGACTCACTGGCACAAGGTGTTCCCCAACAGTGGTGTTGCTGTAGGCAGCAGGATGGCTCTGCAGAACAAAGCATGTGTCCATGTCCAGCCCTGCAGACGGGAGGTTTGCAGGATTAGACCTTTATGTTACAAAAGGCTGCTCTGTCAGCCTGTGCTTCCCTGCCCTGCTCGAGGTTTTGCTGCGTTGCTGTAAGAGGAGACTTCCAGCCCTGGGAGCTTGTTTTCAAGCTGCTGATCATGACTCCCCTCCCGGCTCAGGCTTCCCCGTGGCCCTTCCTTCCTCAGCCGGGTCTGGAGTTGGTGCTAATCACCTCTGAGCACTAGTAACAAACATGCGCTTCCCCAGCCTGGGGTCGCCGTCCCTCGCCAGAGGCGGCTGGTGCCGATCGCAGGTGCTGCTCGCAGAAGAGCCATTCGTTAGGACTTGGTAATTTTGTCCTAATGCTGATGTAAGGTGGCTTTGATTGATCAAGTCCTATGTATAACCCATTTGTTTTCTCTGTTGAAATCAGCCCTTTTAATACAGGGTATGGAAACCTGAAGATTATCAATGTGTTTTTTTTTCTTGGAGGGAGTTATCCTAACTCACACAGGTGGCTGTCTTGAAAAACTGCTTTTGTTGTTTTGCCTGAGCCAAAAGCATAAAGAGGGTTAAGCATTGGGAGCTCCAAACGATGATTTCTTCAGTTAAGGAATGGACGTTGTACAGTGGACTGCAAACCAACAATAATGTATTTTAAAATCAGTTTGGGGAGAAGAAACTAGACAGTGTTTTTGTGAACTATCTTTGCAGCACTGAGGAAAAATCACAAGAATTGGATTTTTTGGAAGCACAGATATGTAGTCAGTGTATGAGTATTTGAAGTTTTATGGCTGTTAAAGTTGTTTTTTTTTTCCTCCTTTTTTTTTTTTCCTCCAACACTTCTGTAGCTTGCATATCAGGTTTTCACTGAGATGGATTACCAGTTTTAAAAAATGTTGTTGTGCCATATTTTATTTATCGTTATGCATTATAAACATATAAATATCTATTTAGACTGAATATTGCAATAAAAGATGCTATTATTGTGAACTTCAGGGTTTAAACCCAAGACAAAAAAAAATGGGAAATACTTCTCCAGTCTATTTGCTGTTTGCGATCTTCTTTCTGAAGAGGTTTCTTAAGTTTTTATAATTTAAAAACAATATCATGTCTCAAAATTCAAAGTTTTACGATGCTAACCCTGAAGTTCTCAAGTTTTTGATCCTTTGGTTTTTTTCAAGGTACATCTGGTTGATTTTCTGGTGCAGTCACATAATTCTTTAGAAAGGTCTTGTTTCTGGAGTTAATGAGGAAAAGGTGGAATGGGTTGATCCATCCTGCTTGGCTTTTTTAACCTATTAATCTTTTAAGTGATCAATTTCAAATTAAAAACCAACTTTTTAGGTCTCTGTTCTACTTAAACTTTTTAGGAGTGAGAGCCTGCCCTCGCTGAGTGGGACTTTGATGGGGAAAGCAGTAGATTATGAGGTTGCTGTTGCTCAGGAATTGATTAGTAAACTTTTAACTACTAATAAAAATCCATTTTTCAATGGATTTTTTAAAAAACCCATTTTCTTAGAACAGTGATATGGGATGTTTCCTAGTGAATAGGAATTAGTTTATATAATTTAGCCTATTAAACTGAATTATTTAAAATTCAAACTTCCCCTAATTTATCTTTTTTTTTGTTGTGGTTTTTTTTTTTTTATACTGTCATTCCTTTCATTCCTCCATAGAAGTAGTGTGAATTCTTCCGGTGTGTATATATGTATGTATAATATATATATTTCCACCCTGGCTTTCTAATTCTCCAAAATGTAAGAGTTAGTTTTTTCTCCCCTCCCTCCACTTAATTTCTTGTGTCTTTACCTTGATTTGTAATTGAAACAATGCTTTGAAGTTTTGTCTTTATATTAAAGTGTATGTATTTTAATACACCGTACTGTTGTGGAGTTTCACTGCTTCAGCAGGACAGGCGTCAGCAGGGGATGGCACTTGGCGTCTGCCAAGGAAACGAGATGTTCTGGACCGCAGCTTTATCTGGCGGCAGTGGTCGGCGCAGGCAGGGACAGGCTCCCGCTTCTCTCCCTCACGTCCTGAATTAGCAAATTTAGCTCTGGCAAAGCTGAGGACAGTTAAGCTCTCAGGGTTTAGTGTGCTCGTGACATTACAAACCCACCCTAGTGACATTTTCTCTTTACCCTTTTAGCCAGTAATTTCACCAGTATAATAAAACTGAAATCAGCCAGACAATGATGTATTTAAACTTTGGAAGTGATGGCCATAATGCTTTCTAAGCTAATTCGCTCTAGGGTTCTTAAAATGAGATGAAGGCCTTGCTTCACCAAATGCTTGGTGATAGGCTCTGGATGGGTTTTTAGATGCTGGAACCAGGTTGCAGCAGCAGTCTGACCCAGCTCATCTTCCTAAGCATGTTTGTCACTCCAGCTATTGCCAAGCGCTCAGCTCCGTTAGCAAAAAGCCTCTAAAAAAATCACGTTGTGGAGCCATCCGCAGCTGGCTCCTGAGCAGGCCCCTGACCTCCAACAATCCCACTGCTCCTGCTCGTGGGACTGAAGGCTCCGGCTCTGCAGCACATCTGCTGCAGCTTGTGCAGCTGCTGCTCCTCTATCGGTGATCCCTGCTGCAGCGCCGAGGCACGGAGCTGCTGGCGGTCAGGTGAGATGCCCGGTCCCTCCGGGGCTGCACTGGACAGCCACCCCTTCCCAGTGAAGGTTTTGGTTTCTTAGAACAGCTCTGACTGCCACAAAGATTTAAAACAAGTTTTTATTGGAAATGTTCACTGTACAACAGATAAACAGCTTCAGTACACTTTCAGGGAGCCTGTACACAGTGCTCACTGGAACAGGCCACTGAAATACAAAAAGCAGTGACGGGAGTATGAAAAATGAACAATTGTCTATAAATCACCAGCAGTTGATGCAGATCTCAAAGTGTCTAGAAGTACCATCTGCCCTTACTCCTGAAACCTAACCCAGTGTCCTAGCGCTAGTCTAGAAGTTGATCTAAGTTACTGGGCCAGCCGCTGGCCCGTGTAACTCTTCACAGCATTTGTCTTACATTCAGTTAAGAAATGTCATTGTTGCCTCTTAAATAAGTGTTGGGATTCTCTCTCGCTCGCCCAACTCTTCCCCATAACATCTAAGTAAAAATGCCCATTTTACATACAGTGAAGATGGTGGGTGTCGGCTCTACCTTCTGAAAGGCGTGCAAAGAGAGGACGCTAGCGATAGTCCTGGAAGGCACACGGTTGAGAACTGTTAGCTACTGAAGGTGGCTGGCAGAAACTCTGAGCCTCACTGCAGCGCCAGAATTTTGTTTGCTAGAAATGACTGAATGTTGGCAGAATTCCCAGGGTTTTGTTTATATATGGCTTGACTTTGCATATTGAAGAATTCACTAATGCTGAACCCTGGGGAGCCGAGTTTGGATGTGGATGTTCTGCCTCTGAAACTGGCTGGCAGAAGCGTTCACGGCTGGTCAGCCAACGCCGAAGCCAGGGAGCTGCGATACCTGTGGTGGGGGAGCCCACTTCTGCTCTGCTCGGCCCACGCTACAGAAGAGGAAGCAGCAGCTGCAGCGCAGCTCTGGCTATTCCGCCACTGAGGCTGGAGTGTGTCTGTCTGTCCTCTCTTGAGTGACCAGACAGATGAGTCTCTTTTTCACAGTAAGTAAAGCTGCTGCGTACCCCACCAGCATGTCAGGAACATGCCCCTGCACTGAGGTAAAGCAGAGCAGGCTTGTGAGGATTAAAATGCACTTTAAAGTCATCTGAGGACACTAATTCTCTAAAGCGCAAGCTCTTGTATGTTCCTGCTTTTAATCCCTCATTGCTGCTTCCATTAGAGTTGCCATCTGTCTTCAAAACCACTCCATTTTCTGCTGCCACTCTGTCATGCCCTCAGCTTATTATGCAGGACAGCTGCTTATTTTGGTAATTTCTGGAGCAAGCACCTGGAATGATTGAAGGGAAAGGGAGTATCTGGGGAGGGAAAGGAACAGTCTTGGCTTTGAGGTTAAAAATAAAGCATCAGTGACATCTGCCACTCTCCTGGAACCCAGCAGCATGAGGTAAAGAGGGAAAGCCAGGCCACTAAAGCTTGCAATATGGGCTCTTGTTTCAGCATTAATTCCCAGCCAGAGAGGAAGAGACCCAAAACTTCCTTTCAACCCCAGATCACAGCACAGGCTGCTCTACCTCACCTCGCTTACCATGTGCTGGTTAGCTGCAGAGCAGCATTCCTGCCAGCCAGGTGGAACAAAGTCCAGAGCTGCACACCCCCAAAGCTCAGGCCAAGCCCTTGTGCTGTGTTTACCTGCCTCAGCCGTGAGCCGAGTTCCTTCTGTCATCAACCATCTGACAATGTTACCTGGGATCTTCCCAGGTGCCTTTCCTGGAGCTTTTCCTGGTCTAGTTCCAGGGGAGCTGCTGCAGGCAGCCGTGTCCTCTGCTCCTGCGGGAGTCGGGAACCTGGGTCTCCTGAAGCCCTGGGTGCAGGTGTGGGGAGTGTCTTTCTGTCCCTCATCTCTGGGCAGTTTTCCTTCGTGCAGCCAGAGCCATGGCTGAAGGTGTGGAGCCTCGAGGAGAGACAATCCTTAACACTTATCTCTTCATTACAGGAGCCCCAGGGAAGGCAACCCTCATTCCCTGGCAGCTCACTGTGACCTCGGCAGTTTTCTGGTCTTTCCCTTTGGACGTTCACAGAGGGGAGAAAAGCTGCAGCAATGGCTCAGGGAACAAAGGGTTAATGCCTAGCTGTCGCATGCTCCCTAGGCTTAACTTCTGCATGCCCCAGAAGCTCAAACATCCAGCCAAAGTGGAGCAGTTCCTGTCTTTACAAACCTCTCCATCTGGCTTTCCTCTCTGGGAAGCTGAATAACTGCACAGTTTAGCCCAGCCCACAGCCCTGCAGAGGGAGGCAGGATCACCACAGATCTCTCAGCCCTGTCTCTGCTCCCTTGAGCTTTGCAGCTTTGTTCTCTAATGCATTTGTGAGAGTGCTCTAATGGCCTGTACTGTGGGCTTCATCAAGCCTCTAGGAATTAGCACCACCTGCCCGAAGAAGGGAAAAGAAGAAAACAACCCCAAGAGGCAGGTGCTAGTGGCTGCACAGACTCTGCTGCCTTGATGGGGTGGCTGGGGTGGATGCCCCCTCCCTGTCAGCTGGAGCTGTGGCTGAGCTCTCCCCATGTTAATGGAAAGCTTCCCACTCCTCCTTGCTCAACAGCTTGGCCATCAGGGTCTGCTAGCAGGTCTCAGCAACCGAAATGGCTTTGCAGTGAACAGGAGAGGGCATGACAGGGTTAACCCTGCAAGCATAGACATGCAATCAGTTGGAGCATCCTCTTACAGCAAGGGGATGAACAACCCTCCATGGCTCCCTTGGAGACTGCAGGAAGAGCCTGAGCCAGAAAAGCTGAGTAGCTCCCGGCAGGAGAGGAACAGGAGGGCTAGAGCTGGCCCAGGGCCTGCCCCAGAAGCTCCAGGCCAGAGGGCTGCAAGCCCGCGCTGGAGGACAGCAGGTGCTGGGAGCTCTGTTCAGTCCCTGCCTCCTCTGCTCTCCCGAGGAGCCAGGGTGGTTTTACTCCCACTGCCGCAGCGGTGCGGTGTCAGCTCAAGGGCACAGTCTGCAGGGAGTGGTTAAGACTGGCTGCCTCCGCAGCTGGGGCAAGTGAGAATGTGCAATGAATTCCCTTTAAAAAAATCATACAAAATTATTTGGCTAATAAATTAAAAAGTCACTTGGTCACTGCTGTGGGGAACTGCTGCTGTTCTTTCCTGGAGGGGCGGTTTGGGGGGTGACCCTCCGCAGCCAGAAGCCAGTTCAGCCCAGGCGAGGGGACTATTGCTTGCGTGTTCCCAGCTGGAAGCGGGCTTCCTCAGAGATCCCATACTGCTCCAGGGGGTCCTGCAGCAAGAGCACAGGGAAGGCACCAGTGAGATGCAGACAAAGGGGGAGGCCAGCAGGACTGTCCCACAACCAGCCTGCACTCTGGGGCTGGGCTGGGCACTCATTCCATTCATATGCTGGATTTATCCCAGTCCAGCCCCTGGCTGCTGTTTCTGGCACAGAAAGGCAAGCAGCCCTCAGGGAGGACACGGCAGATAGATAACCAAGGTTTGTGGGCTGTATTCATTCCACACTGGCACAGGAATGCAGAGTTGAGCCGCAGCCACCTCAGTCACCTCGAGCAGGGACACTCTGAGGAGCCTGGCAGGGTGTGAGCAGCATTGCAACCCACGTATGCTCTCATTTGGCCAGGGCTGCCTGTGAACTCCTCCAGAGAACCGGTGGGAGCCCGGGCTAGCCCAGGCCAGACTGTCCAGCTACAAACCTCAGGCCACTCTGCCATTGGAAGAGTGCACGTACGAGGGTCAGAGCTGAGCACAACAACACAGGCTGCTTGGCAGAGGAAGACTCTCAGGTCTGGCTGTTAAGACCATGGCTTCAGAAACTGGCTTACTACGGGATCTCTTCCGTACACACGGCAGCAAACAGCCTTCTGCAGGACAGTCGGCAGCAACACCTGAGATCACCAGCCCCTGCTCCAGTCCAAACCCATCGGTCACCACCTGAGAAGCTGACTTCAATGGACTCACCTTCCCTGTCATTTTCTGGATCTCATTCCGGTAGAAAATCAAGCTCCTCCTCATGAACTCATAGCTGTAAGACAGGAACAGACCATGCGGCAGGCTGAGCAGAAAAGGATGTGGAGAAGTTTCAGATGCTATTTAGAGCTGAAGGGAAGCTTGCATGGGAGGAGACGATGGCTTTCCTCCCTGGGTTCACCACAAGCTGATCCCAGAAAACAAACAGCACAGAG